TTGTATCAGGGAGGTGATCACACAATGATAATTTTTCATTCTTTGATGCCTGATACCTGATCCCTTCAACGCCTCCCCAATCTGGTTTTCAGTTTCTTTCTTTTTTTTAACATTAAGGCTTATCCCTGAAGTATTTTATCATTGTGGGTAGCCCCCTTGAATTTTTGCTGTTTTTGGTATATGACATCCAGGATTGATGAACGTATAGAGATAACGAGTAGAAGGGTTCCTGGGGGTATGCAGTGGGGAGAAGAGAGGGAAGCTGTTATCAAGTTCAAGGAGGAAGAAAATGTTCTGAAACTGATGGTGGTAGCAAGTGTACAATGCTATTTGTGATTGGACTATGGAGTGGGACGTCTGTATTAGTTCTCAATAAAATGGTTTTGAAAAAGAATGAGTCTCAAAAACCTACAGGGGCAGCTTTACTCTGTCCTATAGGGCTGCCGTGTGTGGTTTGGGTACTGGCAACACAGTATTCATCATTCATTCATCACAATCACCTTCACTTGTGGCATGCACAGCTTTCAAATCTTGGGAAATGCTCCTGGTCTCTCCCCTTCTTGCACAAAGGTAAGGTTAAGGAACCCTGATGGTGCTATGAGGTAAGCAGGCTGGGCTGCTACCAGTCACTTCACAGGAGGATGAAGCAGTCTGCATGTGTCAACATTTAGTGTCAGAAAGCCTACATAGAGTTGTTGAGTCCGAATGAACTTGATGACAGCAGGTTAAAATAAGGCTAAGTAAAAACATCCACCTGTTCCAATTACAAACTTGACTTAAAAGACTCACAGGAACTGAACTGTCCCCAATTTGGCAACGTTAGGGGTTCAGAAGGCATAGGTGAAGATGGAGGTGGCTCTCACACACACTGGACATCTCATGAGCAACACTGAAGCTCGTGTGAAGTGATGTGTTTCTTACTCTATGCCAATACTCTGTGCAAGGAACCAGGCTGAATAGGGAGAGGAAATAAAAACCCAAAGGTGGCAAAAATTAGGTTCCATGTCTTGAAAAAGCCGAAGGATTCTGATATAATGTTCATGCCAATTAAGAAATGTGCTGTTTCATCAGTTTGTTTTTGATGATGTACAAGGTGGCTTCAGAAAGTGTGTGGGGGGGGAAAGGAATTAAGCTAATGGGAGTTTCCCAACAAGCCTTGTTGAAGCGCCTTTGTACGAACCGTATGTGAAAACTATGCTAGGTGCAACTATTTCTGAATCTTACATATGCAAGTCTTAAAGCTAGCATATCCTCATGCCTTGTCTACTAATTTAACTGTCTTTTGTGGGGGGAAATTCCTATACTGCTTTGGAGGTCAATGACATTTTTATTGTGGAAAACGAAATAAAAACAAAACCTTGCCAAATAAACATATGAAGGGATACCAAAAAAACCCAAACTGCTGGGCGGAGCTTTTGTAGTACGCATTTTTCCTGCTACCCCCAAATCAAGCAACTCATTGAGTTAGTGCACCCAGTGGTGCCCTGGGAAGGTTCTCTGGTCACAGTGGATTTTTTTTTTTGTAAAAGCAATTTCACTAGAACCTCATTTTTTATGATGGCGGATTTAAGAGAACAGAATGCAGCTGTGAAATTTTGTTTTCTGCTTGGGAAAAAAAGTATACAAGTGATTTTCTCATAACAAAAAAGGTAAAATGTCAATTGATGACAAACCTTGTTCTGGACATCCATCAACTTCCCAGATGAAAATGTCTACAAAATTTGTGCACTTTGTATTCAAATGACGATGGACCATTGAAGAGATGTGGAAGTTATCTGGACTGTCTTGGAGCTTGGTTCAACAAATTCTAAGAGAAGGGTTGCTATGAAATGTGTGCCTCAGGTGCCGACCAGGAAAAACAGCATCAAGTAGACACATGCCTTACTTTGACAGAACAGCTCTGAAGCAGCCCAGACTTTTTTTCCAAGGTCATTCTGGTGATGAGACACGGTGCTATTCTTACAACCCCCAAAGAAAACTTCACTCCATCCAGTGGAAGACTCCACTGTCACCTCACCAGAAAAGAAAAAAGTGAAATCAAAGATCACGATGATGCTTACTTGCTTCTTTTGATGTGAGATACTGCATTTGGAGTTCATTCCTCCAGGTGAGACTGTTAATCAAGCTAGTTAGAGGTTTTGAAATGATTAGATAACAGTGAGCAACAATAATGCCTGATTAGTGGGAAACAGGGGACTAGTTTTGTCATGACACCTGCTCACGTAGCCATTTCAGTGTGCCAGTTTTGGGCAAAAAAGATGCCTCTCTTGCCCCACGTACCTTACTCACCACACTTGGCTCGGTGCGACTTGTTTCCATGAAGAGGGACATGAAAGGACAGGGATTTGACAAAGTAGAAGAGGCGAAGAAAAAAAACAAGGGAGGTGCTGTCAGCCTCCAAACAGATGAGTTTGAAAAATGTTTCCAAGAATGGAATCACAGATTTGGCAAATGTATTAATAGTAGTGGAGAGTACTTTGAAGGTGTTGTTTTGTAAAAAAAAAAAAAAAGTACATACATAACTTTGGGGGAGAAAAGTTCATTTCTGGGGGTACCTCCTAATATATACCCCCTCAAAATAATGCAATTATTCACAAGATGTCAATGAAATGCCCCATGGGGAAGATTTGTGTTGTCAAACACAAAATGACAATGCTGTCTCTAGGGTTAACCAGACAAACTATAGATATATGAATAGATTTTGGACTTGCACTATAGCCCCAATCTAAGAACAATTATTTCTATGGACTGGCCCTACTCGGTGCTCATCCTCATGAAGAGATCACTGAAGATATGGTGCTACAGCAAAGTGTGGTGAAGAAACTAGATGGTACTCGGCTATCAAAAAGAAAAGCACCTGGGGTCTTAAAGGGTGGTCTTCGATCAGCCATCTAAGTGGGATGTCAATTCAGTCCACATGGCAGAACACCAGCCTGTGCGACCCAACGATGGTCAATAATGTAGTCTACATCTAGAGGGGATGGTATCAGTTTAAATTGTGAACACCTGGTTTACAGTAGGCTATGGATGACAGTGGAGGCCCAAAATCCATTTGCAGGGTCCGCTCTTGGATTAGGCCTCCAGGGAATTCCCTCTGTTGGTAGTTTAGGGATGTGAATAGCCCCATTATCGGAGAGCACTGTAAAGTCAATTATGGGAGCCATAGTTAGGTCAAAACGGAACACATTATCATCTGACCTCCCTTTTGACCCATTTTAAAGTCGTTGCAGTTATTTCCCCCTGAAGGGGAAATAAATACAAGTGTCTGAAGCCCCTGGGGAGTCCCCTCTGACCATGGACCAAGGATGAATAGCCTTGCTATCATGCAGAATGCATTGGGAGTGTGGATTGTTGCAGATGCAGTCAAGTTAAAATTTAGCACCCTATCATTTAAATTTTTCACTTTTAATATTTTCTTTCTATTGAAGTTGTTTACTTTGTTATTGTTAGTTTTGTTTTTAAATATTTTTCTCTGCATATGAATTCCAGGATGAGCAAATCTATAGACAGTAACTGGGTTAATGGTTCTTTGGGGGTTTGGCAAGGGAGGTTGGAGGGAATGGAGAGCTTATAACGATTAGTGCAAGAATGAACTTACTTTCCTAAAACCGATGGTCTCACACTTGATGTAATTGAACTACTGAATGATATCCCAATAAAACTGTTGGGGGAAGGGAAACCAACTATGCAGACTGGAAGTCTCACCACTTCTGGACAGTGACTCACATTTTATTACACACTTCAATCGCATCCACCACAGTTTATTATGATTTAGATTTGTTATAGCTGCTTTCCCACTCAATCTGGACATTTACAATGGCAGGGAGTGTGCTTGTCTTCCGATCCTCAGTAACGACAATATAGGTACCCTGGCATACAACAAGTGCTTTATAAACGACCACCAAGGGGGTGGGGAAAAAACACAGGAGAAACCATATTCACTAAACTTCCATGACCCACACTTTAAATCCATTTTAGAAATGAGAGCATCTTGAACACCAGACAACAGACATACTTTGAAGATTTTTACACTAGAGCAACTGCATAAGGATTCTGCTAACTCAGGAACACTCTGGGACCACACACTGCATTGCCTTTGTCTCTTCTCAGTGCTAGGGATTTTAGAAACTTTACCAGGCAGGCTCGAGACTGGGCTGCAGGGTGCGCAACTTCTCACCATGCACTTGCACACACCACACACCTGCACACACACACGCACAACCATGCAGTTAAGCTATGAAATGCAGACCTCCTTCTGAATAATATTCATTTTGTTGGGTGCTAAGCTGGTTTTAACTCATATCAGCTCTATATTCAACAGAAGGAAACACTACCTGGTCCTGCACCATCCTCATCATCACTGCTATGCTCGAGCCTGCCTTTTCCAACTATTGTGTCCATCTATCTCATCAAGGGTCTTCTGCTTTTCTGCTGACCCTCTACTCTATTAAGCATGATGTCCTTTCCCAAGGGCTGGTCTGGCCTGACAACATGTATTTCGCTCTCTCCAAAATGTACGAAGGCAACACGGCTTCTACGGCACTCTGTCCTGGCTACGTGTCTGCCACGGCAGATGTGTTCAGTCTTCTGGCCGTCCACGGTACATTCAATACTTTTTCACCAACACCCGGAATTCAAAGGCATGGATACTTTGGTCTTCGTTTTTCATTGTTCAACGTCCACATGCAAGTGAAGTGAGTGCAAAGGCCAGGCAGGAGTCAGGTGCACCTGCATCCTCAGCGACATCTTTGCTCTCTAACGCGTCAGAGAGATCTTTTGCAGCAGACTAGCTTCATGCGATTTATCATTTGATTTCTTGACTACAGTTTTCCATGTTGTTTGTTGATTGTGAACCCTTGACACCACCCATCTCTTCCTCCTTGAAGTGGGATCCACACTGATGGCCAGTCTGTGGTCTTCAGCAGTAAGTGCTTCAATTTTACCCAGATGGAAACAATGTAATGTGCGCCGTCTTAGGAATCTAATCATTTGATACACTGTTCCTATAGGAAAATATTTATTTGCACATTTAAACTTGTCAGGAGCAGAAGGTACAATCAGTTCTCTTAGGTTCTCATCATATATAACAGTATAAGAAAAATAATTTTAGCTCTTTACCCCCTTTTTATGCTTTGAAAATTCAAAATAGGTATGTAAAAACAAATTTTGAGGTATAAATGATCAGATTTACATACTGATAAAGAAAACATTTAAGATTGTCAGAATTTTCATGCTGAAAAACAATGACAGATACCACCCTCTGGTCTTAATTAAGTAGGACTGGAGCAACGAATGTGAATGTTGCAAATACCCTGAAAGGGGGAGGGAACAAAATCTCAGGAGTGCCCAGCAGGGAGTCAGTGCTGTCCTGGCATGGAGACCAGTCAGCCCAGTCAGCCCACCATGCTGAACTGCTGTGGGGTGTTGGAGACCTTTTCGGAGATGGGATGTCCAGCCATGCAAAGGCTGTGGTATTAGGGAAAATGTACAACGTGTAGGGGATTTATGAGAGCTTCAAAAGCACGAGGACCCTGGCTATCGTTTTATTATTTCTTTCCTATCTTAGGCTTTCATGTCAATCTGAAAGAATTTTCCTTTCCAGTAAGAGAATCAAGTGGGCTCTGCTGTGGAAGCAAAACAAGATGATGCTTTCCAGATTATACTATGACCCAAATGAAAAGATGTACCTTAAAATCAGAGTGCTCAATTTTGAGAGTGTCCCACGGAAACTCCCGATGTCGGAAAACGCATCACTGACTTTTTAAAAAAATGAAATTTATGATTGCCTTTCTTTAGCACTATTTTGCTCAGTAGCAAAAGAAAGAAAATGATGCTTATTTTTTTCTTTTGGAATGTGCGATCTTTTAACATTCCGTAACGTTTCTAAAATTCTGGACAGTAAAAAAGGGACCATGCATTAAGCTGAAAGTAATGAGCTACTAACTATTTTGTTCAAGAGCCTGCTCTTTGAGACAACAAATGTGATTACTGTTTGAGTAGCTTCATTAATGCTACTAGATACTTTGAACGATATTCGATCGGTCCTGAAGAAACACTGGCTGCAGCGACATACAATATAGGCTTTTCCCTCCTAGTACAACAGGTTCAAATGGAACAGCCACACAGAGAGGGGAGGGTAGTAAGTGATGAAATTCTAGAACACAAGAAGGCATACGGGCCTGAATTACATGCAATACTTAGCAAGGACTGGATTTGTGTAGTGTCTATGTACAGACACAAGCAGGGTGAGGCACTTAAAAACTTTACGATGAAATTCCTGGGAAAAAGCCTGTACCTATACTTATGACTATCACTGCTAATAACAACATCCTTCTCATGAAGAAACATGCAATCAGGAACATTAAAAGTTATAAGTGCTTTGAAAATGCACTGACATCCCCCGCCCGGAGTACAGTCATACTTGGATTATAAAATTAGATGCTTTCATATTACATTTTCATATCATTAGTGGTTAAACACCTTATTGAAGAATCATTAAAATATTATGGGTCATTGTACAAAGCCCTAGCCAGTACCGATGTTACTGTACTGGTGTACCCCCCTGGTGGAAAAAAAAAAAGCAAATCCAAATGATGCCACAACTTCTATCATCCAAATGCCTTAAGCTGGTATTACATTCCTTTAACCCAAAGGGACTTTTGTAGTCATGCTCCCATTGCTTTACAATCATGATCCTTAAAACTTTTAGTATCATATACAACATACCAAATAAAGATCCAGTGAGGTAAAAATGTCCTACACATAGTGCTATGTTCTCTACAGTACTTGGCTCCGTGGAGTAACGTCTGAACAGCTATTGCGCAGATGGGTTGAAAAGGCTCTTACCCTAATCACAGCTGCAAATAGAATCTCACTAAAAAAATTTTATTGGCATGGAATACTATAATTATGGATATGTAATTTTTTAAAATCTTAGTCTCTTAGCATAATCACGTATATCTATGTACTAAACATACATAAATTTCACTTTATTTAAAACATATGAAAGAGGTCATTTCAAATCACACTAAACATAATAAATATAGAACTTGCTTTGTTAAAAATCTGCAGTGTACATTCAAGTAAGGGCTAAACTTCCAACACCAACTATATTTGAGATAAAAATTAAGCATTTACAATAAACAGTTTCCTAAAAGTGTTATTTTTAATACCTACAAGAGGAAACTCATTCTAGTGCTTGTGTTCTCATTCAAACATCTATACATTCTTTTATTCACAGAACCAGATGCTTCTGCTACTAAAAATACATATCCAAAGCTTTTATATCCTTTTAAATAGATTTAACATTTTAGCTCTTTGGAGGAAGACAGGAGAGTTCAAACAACTCAGACCGGCTCTCTTATGTTACTAGAGATGATAGACTTTATGAAACACCCTGTTTCAGCTCAGCTGTGAAAGTTTACAAACACACGAATGCAGGAAACTCAGGTCCCGTGTCTAAAGTAAGTTATCTTCTTCTACATGAGAATTTGTGCAGGTCAAGGGGCATCCATTGTAGCAACCTTCCTGTGACCCAGGTCTGGGCACCAGGCTCCGTGACTGACTTAGACATTCTCTCCCAACCTGATTTGGTTTAGCTTCTTCATGAGTTATATTCAGTGCATTGCTTGAACTGTTGGGAAAAGAAAAGCAGATAATACGTATATGTATACATATCCTTTTATATATTAGATATGTCTAGGTGGCACAAAGTCTCATCACTTCTTTGTCTTATCTAAATAAATTTTCATGACACACCAGTCAAGGATATTAAAGAAGTGTTTAATCTAAGTGTCATCCATCCACCTACCAGTTTATCTCTTTACCATATTTTGAAGCATGAAGCATGCTGCCCAATGGCTAAGGAAAATGTAGAAGGAACCTGTAGAATGGCTAAGGAAGTGTAGAAGGGAGATGTAGAAGGAGGCTAGGAAAGATGTAGAAGGAAGCTGTAGATTGGCTAAGGAAGCTGTAGACGATGCAGAATGGCTAGGAAAGATGTAGAAGGAAGCTATAAAAGTAGGCTAAGGAAGATGGATTTGTAATCTAGTACTCTCACCTTTCTACCATTATTTCCCGATCACTTCATGGTTCCCCCCTTCTCTACCTGTTTATGTGTTTATTCGTGTTTTTATCTATCCATCCATTCATCCATACAGATATTTAATGAGAATCTACAAAAGCGGTTAAGAGCCCAGGTCCTGACACCAGATAACTTTTTCATTAGCCCAGAGTGCACACGCAGTTCTGGGCTTTGGGCAAGTCAAACCTCTGTTCTTCAGCTGTCGAAACAGTGAAAATGATACCACATATGTCTCAGAAGCTTGGGGTGGGAGTGACCTGAGCTAACATATTCAGTGGTCACTAGAGTGATCAATTAATTTAATGCCCGGCAGTAAGAGGCTTAGTGCTGAACACAGACACAGCCCCTACGCTCAGGGCTGGAGTCTGGGAGGAAGCAAAACAGTCTGCTGAAGTGAGCGCTTTCGAAGCTATGGAGTTGGCCACTGAAGAATACATTTTCATCGAGACTGAACACCTTACGTGATTTCTTTCCCACTTTGACTTTTCTAATGCACCTTTTGTGTCTTTGGTTCACTAACTTGACTTCACAATGTGGTAATCCTAAAACAAATAAAAATAGTAAGTCACTTTTAATTCTAAAAATCAAAATCCAAACAAACCTAATTGAGAAATTTTATATTTATCTGCTAATACTTTAAAAAAAAGCTTATACTCTGTCCCTCAGAGGCATCTCAGATGACATATATAATCAGCTCTCATTTCTGTATGCAAGTCACCTGGCCTGGAATCCAAGGCACAGCCTTTACATAAAATGTCACTGTACAGGAAAAGAGCAATGATGTCATTTAAGAAATGAATCACGGATACTGCTAATTATTTTGCTATAATTTTATTACAAACCCAGATCCAAGATACTCCTGGACAAGATATCCAAATTCACCAAATAATTTAAAATTTCACGGTCCATGTCTAGCTGCCCAACTCCTTTCCTGGTGGCTCGTGCCCAACTCTGCATCTGCCTTATCCTAAGACGAGTCCCTGGGAACGGTGGAGCAGTCGTTAAGCCTCTAGAATTGTTTCTCTGCCTCTGTGATAAACCTCAAAAGACAAGGGAAGGCATCTTATTGTATGTATTTTTATTTTTAGGCTGGTACTGAATATTTATAGTGAACTAGGTATTAAGTGCTTTATAGCAATTGAAACTTAATCCACACAACACGATGGAGGCCCGGTGTGTTCTAGACTTCTTAATTAAACACACAAAAACGTGTTCAAGGACTATTTTTGACAATTATTTCCTACCTAAAAATAATAAATTAAAAAATTTTAAACACATAAAATTGAGCTGACTCTGTTAGGTTCTACTTTAGACATAAGATGCACTATTTGTAAATGGTGACTAGAATTTGTTTCTATACATCTTTAAAATTTTTGGTCAAATTTGGAAGATTCCATTAACATTTTACATAAGAAAATACTGAGTTTATGTCATCTTCTGACAGAAAACTATGTAAACAACTTTCACTTCCCACATTTAATTCATCAGTCAATCTATTGGGTCTAACTTCAATATCTATACCAAATTGAAGCATTTCTCTCTTCATGTTATGACTAGTATGAATGACCATATATCTTCTGTTAATTTCAACAATCCTTTCTAAATGGATCTGCATGGTCATATTACTGATCTCCTACAATCTGGCCCCACCCCCCGCCCGCCAAAATAGCATAATCTTTTAAAATTTTAAGGTATTTTTCTCTCAGTTGCTTAAATTTCTCCAGTGTTTCTCCAATACCCTTAAAATAGTATTTGACCATGACTAGATCAAAATAGTCTATGAGTGAAATGACTTCTGAAATGTGTGTCCACATCAGGAAAAAGAGAATGGCCACACGGGCTAATTTGCCCCTTTCATCTTTTCTAGTCTCTGTCTCACTAGGAACATCTGTTTCCTCTGGTTCAAAATCAATCTCGGAAATGTTTCTAAACTATAAACCCTTTGCTTTAGCTCCCGGCAGAAACTAGGTAGAGCGCCTGCCTAGCATGCCTGAGACATGTGCATCTTAAACACCATTTCAACAGAGGAGACCTCCACTGACCTGGGGTCAGGCTGTCACGATGTGGGGAGAGGGGGAAGGTTAGAATCAAGAGAAGGCTAAATTAGTGAGCCTGCAGACCAATCTCTCAATATCAATCTTCTAAAGGCACACTGGAGTCCCGGGAGCATAATGACCACCCACAGGGTCAGCAATACAAAACCACCAGCCACTCCTCAGGAGAAGGACAGTGCTTTCTACTCCTGTAAAGCGTCAGTCTCAGAACCCACAGGGCGGTTCCCCTCTGTCTTACAGCACCGAGCAGAGCAAGAATCGACCCAGTGGCCGTGTGACAGGCAGGAACACTCGAAAAGGAGCGACAGCAACCACAGATCCCCAAAGAAAGTATAATGATGTGGGGCCGCATTCAGAGAAATAAGTCACGTGAACACCATTCTAGACGAGGAAGAAACAATAAAGAGCACAGAGAAAAGCGTTCAAAAATTGTTGAAAGAAAATTTGCCTAACATTATGCAAAAGAGGAAGATGTGCATTTTGGGAGCTGAGCAAACCCCAAACAGGGCAGATTCCAAAAGAATATCACCAAGACATCATAACCAAACTTTCCAAAACTAAAGATGGGGAAAGAATCCTGAGCCCAGGAAAAATGCACGGTTATCAACAAAGGGGAAACAGCTGTCGCAGCAGAAACCATACTGGCAAGAAGGCATATGCAAAATGGTGAAATTAAAAAAGCAATCAAGAATCATTTACTGAGCAATATTGTCCCTACAATATAACAATGGAATTGGGACATTTCTAAATGAATTGAGCTTGTGAAAACCAAACCAACTTTACAAAAAAGTGCCAAGGTGAGTTCTCTGAACAGAAACCAACGTTAGACAACAATCTGAGATGAACATTCATGACAACAGCACACAGAAGTCACCCACACACAGAAGTGGGTGAACAAGGCGAAGAACTGGGAGCAAGCATTATCAACTCGTAATGAGAACTCTTGTCAAGAGAGGGAATAATGTCATGACAGAATTGCAATTAGAGAGGAGATCGTGTAGACATCAAGAAAGGACATGGTTTAAAACTTGGGGAAAAATTAGTAAATTACAGGACAAACTCAACAAAAATGAAAACACGTCATCAAAATAAAAAGGAGGAAAATTATAAAGACTTAGAAAACACCACTACCACAGCAGTGAGGACTATGACAAGAAAAGCCACGAGCAAAATTAACTCAGCACAGAAAATGAGGTAAAACAACTAATAGCACCACAAAAAACACACAACAAAATGAGCAATAAATTCCTACCTATCAATGATTACACTGAATTTAAATGAATCCAATGCACCAGGCAAGAGACAGACTAGTACAATGAATAAAGAAATAAGACCCATCAATATGTTGTCTACAAAAGATAATAGACTAAAAATCATGGGATGCAAAAATCTATCAAGACCCTCAGATAAGCAAAATATTACAGTTAAAGGAACAAAGTAGGAGGCCTCTTCTCACTTTGCAATCTCGAATCCTTCCACAGCCAGATACGCAAAAACCGCCAGGCACTGGGCCAGGGACACACAGGTCAGTGGGCTAGATGGGGGAACCAGAGATAACTGCCCACTGACGGCGGCCGAACACATCACGTGGGAAGAGACAATCTCATGAACAAACTGTGGGGCAGAAGTAGACAGACCCGTGCAGACTAACAACAGGACCTGTACTTCACACTGTAAACACCAAAGTGAATTAAAAATGGATCAAAGATCTAAATATAAAACAGACCGTGGCTGCTGTTAGGGGCTATCCAGTTGGTTCCGACCCACAGTGGCCCCATGTCAACAGCAGGAAACGCTGCCAGTCCGGCACCACCCTCACAACTGCTCCCATGCCGCGCCCATTGTTGCAGCCACTGTGCCAGCCACCTCCTTGCGGGCCGAGAACAACAAAGATCATGAATGGAAAAACGGGGACAAACTTAGTGGCATAAACCCACTATTGGACGCAATGAACAGCACACAAACAACAAGACAAACACGATGACCTCCTCCAGATCAGATACTGTATGCATTACAAGATTGCTCCAAAAGAGTGGAAAAGGAACCCACAGACTGGAGAAACTTGTTGGGCCCGATATACTGGACAAGGGACTAATCTCTAAAATGTATAGAAAACTGCAACACTTCAAAAGAAAAGGACAAATAATCGAGTTAAAAAGTGAGCAGAGGCCAGGTACAGACAGTTCACCAACAGAGACATTGAAGCAGGCAACACATATATGAAGAGATACAATCACCAGTCATCAGAAAGAGCTCATCACAGCAACAATGAGATCCCCTCACCCCAACAACAGCACAGTTACAAAAGAGGTCCGCGAAACAACAATTCTGGAGACGGTGTGCAGAGAATGCTCTGCCGCTGGCACTGCAAAGCGGAGCCCTGCTGTGGACAGTGGTACGGCCCCATTCAAAGGATGGGAACAGAAATGCCTTATGATGCTACTTGGTATAGAAATACCAAATCGTAGGGAAACGAGGGCCAGGACATCACAGATATGCACACCCATGGAGAAGTAAACTTTAGTGTATACACACACACACACACACTTTAGTGTATACACATACACACAGAGGAATACTGTACAATGCTAAAGAATAAACACCTCACAATGTCGACAAACCTGAAGGACATTGTGCTGAGTGAAACTGGTCAATTACAAAAGGGTAGATGTTATAAGGCACCATTACTATAAAAGCCAGAAAAAGAAGTTCACATGAAAAGAAACATTCACTGATGGTTACCAGGGATGGGAGGAGAATGTAGGGAGGGGCTGTCACAGACTAGAGAGTAGGTGGCGAAGGGGAAGGCAATATATATATGGAGGGAGTTCTGGAAAAAATGATGGAGGCAGGGGAAGACATTGGCGGGGGTAAGGGGGTGGTTCGCAACAGCTAAAGGCAACAGAGGCATAGACTATATACACAATCCTGCAAGACTGCTGTTCTATAAGTAGATGCTTGCACAGGCATGCGGGAGGGGGGGGCAGAGGGAGAAATAGCTAATAACTTTAAGGAAATACCAAAATGCAACCGTTAAAAGTAATGTATGGGCTTCCTGGGAGCAATGAGCAACTTTTATTTTTTTAACTGCCGTACTCCTGCAGATTCTTCTTTATTATAAATGCCAAACTCTTATGGCTCTTGATTCTTTATATTTCAGCATCAAATAAAAGGACATACAGGAAGAAACATTAAAACATGTCCTATACACAAAGTGGAAAAACAATGTCCTTCTACTTTCATATCATTAAAGTACTTACAATATTAAGTTGGTCCTTTAAGGATGTCTATATTTTAAATTGCATTTTTATAAGTGTGAAATACAAGTGCACACATTATATGTTAGTCCTAGAAGGCAGGACTAACTTCTATTTCTGGCTTCTTCACTCTTACATTCCTCACACCTAGTAGGTTGCCAGTAACAGATACCCAGGAAGTATTTGCAGACTGAATGGATCAATCGAGTAAGTTCCTCTCCAGAGTCTGTTGCATTGCTAACTGAAGAACATGCCAGCTGGTCTTCAGATCAACTCTAGCAATGTTCAGAAATACGTGAAAAGACCCAGGATAGACCGTACCTATGTTCAGATGCACAGGAGCGGGTCTGGCCAAAGTCGGAAGCAGGAGATGTCGGAAGGGATTTAGTAAGCTTAGACGTGCTGACGGGAGACCTGCGGCACACACTGTGAGGCTGCCTCTGCCGTGGCCTTGAGTGTACTGTAAGGGTGTCCCGATCAGAATCTGCTGTTAAAAAGGAACGAAGTGGTACAGAGAGTAAAGTACTAAGTAAGATCCAGGTAATTCCCTAGAATGATACATTTATCGTTCTGTGTGAGTCAAAATAATCTGATGAGCCATTCTAACCCGATTAACACGAGTCTATTTAATCTTGTGGCCTCTGTTATGCACATTGTAAGAATATTTAGAAAGATCTAATTTTTAAAAATAATATTTTAAGACTGAAATGTCACAAATGTGACAAAATCACACGCACAATTAAAGTTTCTGGTATGAATCACACCCTTGCCATGCACACTTTGACTCTAATATAATAAAATACCAAAGTTGACTTAAAATTCTGGTAAAACAGTTTATGAATACTTTCTACTATCTTAGCTGCAGGTACACTCAGATCAAAGAAGTTTTAAAGTACTCACTTCCCGAGAAGGCACTGAAAAGTTTCACATTTTCTGAGTTCTGGGGGTCGAAGGTAGTCATATTTAAAAACTGTTGCTTTAACCAACTGGCTCTTTCTTCTTCAAACGCCTTCCTCTACCATAATAAGGAAAGCAAGAAATACAGTCAATATCTAAACTCATTGTTACCCTTTCACGTAATCTCTCCAGTTTTCTATGTTTGCTCTCTGGAGGTCTAGAGAGCTGCTGTATTTCTCACATCAAATAAATTGACCTTGAAAAGAAAGAAATATTTCACTTGAGAAAATGATATATAAAGTATTCATTCCTTCCATCTTTTCACAAAGATGGTGCCAAAGGCGAGGCAGGAAGCTCCTGCCCCTCCCAAAACGGAAGCAAAGCAAAGACTTTCAAAGCCAAGGCCGTGCTGAAAGGCATCCAGAGCCACATAAAATAGAAGATCCGCATGTCACCCATCCTTCGGCGGCCCAGGACCCTGAGACTGAGAAGGCAGCCCCGAGAGAAATAAGCTGGACCATTATGCCGTCATCAAGCGCCCCTTGACCACCACGAAGATCACTGTGGATGTCAAAGCCAACAAGAGCCAGATCAAACAGGCTGTGAAGCAGCTCTCTGACACTGACGTAGCCAAGGTCAACACCTTGATCAGGCCTGACGGTGAGAAAAAGGCTTATGTGCGACTGGCTCCTGGCTATGACGTTTTAGATGTTGCCAACAAAATCGGGATCATCTAACTGAGCTCAGCTGGCTAATGCCAAACATAAACTTTTTCAATATAAAAACAAACAAACCAACAACCAATTAATCACATCAACTTAAAATAAGTGCACAATGGCTGCAAAAAGACATAATATCAGTGGAACTTTAAAACACAAAACAACATAAATATGAAATGATAAAGCCAAGTATCTTACAGTATGAACCGTTGATTTGAAAAAGGATATATGCTTTATCCAGCATTTTTCTCATCTTCCAAACAGCCATCTACTAGTAGTAGCAACCACTACCACTGAACCGTGAGAGGGCATATCGAATCTGTCCTTTCTAAATTAACTTCTTCCCCACCCCTCAGGTTCCGCTCCTTCCTGCCCATCCCTCCCTGCTCTGGTAAGCAAGGGCAAAAAATACTCTGACTCACTGCCATTGAGTCAGTGCCAGTCGATAGCAACCCTACAGGGACAGGGTTGTGGGTTTCTATGACCACAACTCTTTACGTGCGTAGAAAGCCCCATCATTAGTTTTGAACTGCTGACTTGTGGGTAGTACCCCAACCCATAACCACCACGCTAGCAGGGTTCTTTTGGTGACCCAGGCAGTCTTCATGCAGGGAAGGGACCAGAACACTTGGGAGCAACATCAAAGCAGCAAGAAGATCTGGAGCCGGGTGGGAAGTCGGTTCAGAAGCAGTGACTGGATCAGACAAGAGAAAATAGTAATGCAAATTGTTTGTTTCCTTAGGAAGAGAGTTAGTGACAAAACAGACTTTTACAACTGTGGAGGAGATAACATCTCAGTAGCTAAGGTTCATAAATACTAATATAAATCATAAGCCATCAGACATTGGAAGGAAAACGAAAATATAAGAGAAAGGCCAAAATAAAGAGAGGCCTGACCATGGATAACAGAGATCATTCAAGAGATGGAAGAAATCTTTTAAAACTTAGTGAAAAAAAAAAAAAAGAAATATAACTGTTGTATCAATCAGGCTTCTCATGAGCTAAACGAAGCACTAGAAGAAATAGAAACATTATTTCAAAGTTCTGAAGGAAAAGTCCAAGACTAACACGTGTGCCAGCAAAACCAATCAGGTATGAACATACTTTGGGATATTTCAGAACTCAAAATGTTAACAACTCAAGACATTATTTCTTAAACAACAGCACACACACACAAAACCAAACAAAAAACTCAAAATGGTAATATAGCAAAGTAAAACCAAAAACTTAAGAAAAATGACAGCATGAGACATCAGAAACATGGCAGTGGAATCAGATGTAGACACTCACAGAGGAAGCAATGAGGGGCAGGTCCTCGTCCCGGCACAGCGTCAGAACAATACAGGGCACTCTCTCTTTTATGCGTCCAAACGCATTAGGCGAGTGGGGAATAACAGTTACAGCATCTCTGGATGTTATCAATGTTGACAACATCTCTACTTCTCAAAGTACTTACATTTGGATTGTATTATAGAACACATTAATTATCAATGTGGTTGATTTTTAAAAATGCAAACAATTTCATAAAACCTGGAAAGTAAAGGGGGCAAGGGAAGTGGAGCGAGATTCCATTTTAGGAGCTCCCTTATCCTCACTGCAGGATGGAGGTAATGCTGTCTGACGCTGAGCAAGCATGGAATGCAAGCACTAAGCATAGTATTTATGTGAAATAGAAAGAGCCACAAGAGGAAAAGCAGGAATATTAAGAAATCAGAAGACGTGGAAGAGGAAGACTATGGGAGGAAAAACTATAAAGATGTAAACTCTTTATCTTTTTTCAGCAGGGAATCACAGACACACCAAGAGAAAAAGCCCGCAATGTATTTAAGTTAAAATAATGCCATGCCTGAAGAGTCACACAGAAACTAACCAGGCTTACTTCTGAGGAACGGATTTTGGGGGAAAAGGGGACATTTTCTCACTTTATAGTATTCTGCATGAATTCCTTTTAAAAAAATGCTTAAATGCCATGTTCAGACTTTACTCTTATAATTTCTGAAGGAGCAATACGTGTGGAATGCATGGCTCAGTAAAAAGGACAAGCTGTAGGAAATGTATACAGACAATCCCAACTGTCCACTGTTACTGCAGACAGCACTGGAAAGAGGCTGAAGCGGGCTTTTGTCTTTACTGCTCTTTCTTGACGGTTTTCATTTCTGACAACACACACGTTGGAGAGCAGATAAACAAGATGCCAAAAGAGATCTCTGTGAGAAGGGAAACACCTACAGTCGAAAGTCAATCTGAAAACATTCAGCTCAAAGCTGAAAAAAGCAAAAGATATTCTTCTATAATAGCTCGTTTTCTCAGCCTCCCTTGGATTCCTAGTTTTGTGTTTGTTTGTTTGCTTTTAGGTCACTGGCACAACTTTAGAAACAAACAAACAAACAAATCTGGACAGCCAACAAGGAAAAGCAGAACTGCGAGGCATTCGTCTGAGGCCTGCGTACAACTGTCAGAAGCTCCAACAGGAAATTTCATGTTTAAAATACCTCCAATCCCAGGCGAATAGCGGCTTCTGTAAAGCTTCGTCTTTCTCTCTCAAAATTCTTTTTTTGCTCTTTAAACAAGGACCACTCTTCTTTGAGACGCTCTTTTTCTTCCAACAAATAACAGTCTCGTAGCAGAGAAGTGGTATCATCGTCACTTGCAGTAGTAAGCTGCTGCTATTGAATTTTAAAAGAGAGTTAAGTTCCAAAGAGTCACTGCAAGAACCCACCATGCTGAAATAAAACATGGGAAAGCAGTCCAAACTTTAGGAAGCAGACAGAAATCATGAACCATCAGAAGATTAACTGAGGATTCCATTTACCCAATGCTACTCCCCCAATGAATTTAGCACCAAGATGGGAAGAAGGCTTATTCACCACCTGCAATATGCAGATGACATAACCTTGTTTGCAGAAAGCAAGGAGGGCCTGAAGCACTGAAGACCGGAGTGGTCAGTACCGATTACAACTCAATGTAAAGAACACAAAAATCTCCAAAAGTGAACCAATAGACAACATCAAGATAAGTGGAGAAGATGGAGGTGTCCAAGATCTCATCTTGCTTGCAGAGAGACCAGCTCATCGAAAAGGACATCGTCCTGGGCAACGTGGCAGGTCCCTGAGGAAGAGGGAGACCCGCTACAGGTTGGGCTGACGACAGTGGTTGCCACGCACAGTCACAATGGTGAGGGTGGTGCCGGATCAGCCAGCAGTTCATTCCGTTCCAACCCACTTGACAGCCCCTAACAACCACCCTCAACGTGCCAAGTGTTCAAGGAACGTAGCGAATGTATTACTAGGAAGGGAAGGATTTAGTGTGGAGGGGAGAAAGATGCCACAAACTATGGACCTTACAACATAAAGGACTGAAAATCTGTAAGATTAAAAACCTGGCCTTTCACAAAGGAGCACGGCTTTAAAAAAGTAACCCACATTTACCTGTAAAAGTTGTTGCTGAGTTTTAATCATTTCTTTACACTGCTGGATTTCTAATTCAAGCTTTTCAGTCTCTTGTTCATGGTCTTGTCGTGAAATTACATCGTCCTCATTAAAGCCATCTAAGTGTACCTTTGAAACTAACACAGACCCAGCAATTCAATATAGATTTACAGCTACCATTTAGTTTATGGTGTTTTCTTATACATATTATTTTTAAATCAAGGCTCTCAGAATTTCCTTTTTCTGGAATCTTGTAGGTTTTGTACAGAGTAATGATTTCTGCTGGTCTTTTACATTTTCATAAGCTACAGTAAAATTAAATGTACATGATTTTAACACTGGAAATGTTAAAGCAAAATCAAATATAAGCCATTCATAAAAATGTACTATTCTGGGACTAAATGGCATTCCTACAAAAAGAACTATACTGTCAATACTTAACTTGTAATCACACTTATTTAAGGCTATGCTCTAATTAAAAATGTCCTCCCGACCCACCAAAGACACTAACAGGAAAAAAGAAATTCATAAACCACACTGCTCCGACACGACCTCAAAGGTCAAAGCAGTGCTATCAGACTTGTTCTCTGGCACTGCCGACATCTGCTATTTACTAATGGCTGCGAATGACTGAAATCAACACAATCGCATATATGTAATGCTGGTGCTATAATAATCTGCTGATTGCTCTTTACTACTAAAGGCAACTGGCACTGTATTTGTGGATCTGACAATTTGGAATAAAATTTCTTTAAATGGCCTTTAGTAATACCCTTAAACTGTCCTGATTTATAAGCCTACAGTTTACTTAACAAATATAAAGTATTAAGGATATATTCATCAATATTTACTTATGAAAATGGTATCTGCAATAATACATTACTAAGTGAAAAAGTATGCATACGATATTCAATTTTATATACATTTCAAGAAATATTTGCATATCCAGAGAGAAAAGTCTAAAAGGTACAACAAACTGTACTGGGGGTGGGGGTGAAGGAGGACAGATGGAGACCTAAACATTCTGCTTTATAGGCTTCTTTGAATTGATATTTTGCCATGAACATCTACTATTTGAAGAATATTTTAAAAATAATTATTAGGAA